CAGACAGACAGACAGACAAACAGATACATAGTTAGACAGATAGATAGGTAGATAGATAGATAGATAGATAAAGAGATAGATAGATCGATCGATCGATAGATAGATAAACGGATGGTTATGTATCTAATTATATATCTAAACATGTGTAGATGTATTTGTGCATCGTCAACTCAGGCTCAGATCCTGTATCAGCTGTATACAACTGCAAACATAGAGCTGTGTGTTTCACGTGTACATCTAAACATATACACACATAAACCCAAACAAACACATAACGCTAAATATGTTTAGATACCCATACACGATACAATATGTATCAATGTGTACATATGGTTTTCGTATAAACATACATATTACATAAATACATATGTATATATATATATATATACATCGGTTACCCAGGCTGGGTCACATGATCAGCAAATGTGTTTGGCCAATGCACATCGCGTGGAGCTAAAGCGGTCTCGACATTCTCCGCCAAAAGTGCGGTGTAGTCGCCTCATTGTGCACCATGCGGCTGGCATGTGGGAAGCATTGGCGTAAATGCACGGGAGCTATGTCGTTTGGGGCCTCGATGGTTTTGGAGATTATCCTAAACCCTAAACCCTAAACCCTAAACCTTATCTTCGTCTGCCCAATCCAAAAAAGATCACCTCTAGGAGGCTCCTTACGATGGTTGGCTTCGCGCGAAGAGACCCCACTGCTCCTGATCCGAAGAGAGTCTCGGACCCTACACTGCCTACTACGGTTGATGATATAAAGCCTGCATTACCCACAATAAGGAATATACCATAATTTCCATAGTTTAGGGTCCTTAAGGTCATGCAGGATTTATATCATCAACAGTAGTTCCCCGCAGCCTCAGCGATTCTACCAGAACTCCCCAAACCGTGAACCCTAATTGCCCTAATATGCAGCACCTCGAAGCTCTATAAACCTTGATAGCCCGAACTCAAGTACCGGAGCACAAAAAATCAACCGTGCAAGCCCCAACAGAAAATCCCTGCAAATCCCTACACCCTAAAATCCTACAACCGATTTAACTTGTCCCGGAGCTCTGTTTTGCATCTCTCACGTCTTCCGCTGACGCTCTTTGGCTTGCGGAATCGGCATTTAGAAAGCACGGTGTTACCGGGGTTTTATTTTTTTGGGTCCAGTGTTTACAAACGTTTAAGGTAAGCATGATCCTGCGGCTTCTTTTTCTTGGTAGAATTTTTGTATCGTCCAACACACAAACTACGTTGGAGTGACAAGGTGAGCTTTGGGTATTGGGGTTGAGAAGTCAGGACTCAAGTTTCTGAAAGACGTCGCTGGTACCGTGTCGGGCTGATTGAAACAGCTACCAAAATCGGTCGGATATGTCCTGCAATAGCAAGCCCCTCTCAAGCAATCGATCAACCGATCACGAACTCGCAGTTGTTGTTCTGCTTGCAGGACCATCTGGACAAGCCGTTGCATTCCTGGGCACCCTACACCCTAAACCAGGTTTCTGGTATACTGTAGTATAATCATCACAAAGAAGCCCGCACGAATAGCATTATTCGTAGCACAGTCACGATGGAACCCAAAAAATAGCTAGTATCATTCATATCATCCTGAAGACACCCACAAGAAATGGATAGCATTTGTGCTTCTATATTATGCCGAACTGTCAGCCGGGTTCGAAGCCGCCGAAGAGGTTGAACGGCTTTGCTTGGCACTTTCCACCCGGTCCGTAACTGGAGTCGTGACGGGGTTGGCTGCCCTGCATCCACTCGCAGTTGCTGTTGTGAAGGCAGGAGTAGGTGGACAAGCCGTTGCATTCCTGGGAAGTGCGGTCTTATCAAGAGGGTTCGTATATACCGCTATTATTAACTATTATAATATATGGAATTATATAGGTCCCAAAAACCATAATAGTACACATTCGCCCTGTGGGTTACAAACCCACTGGGGTTTAGGGGTTGTGGTTTAGGGTTTGTTAGGTTACAGAGCCCCTGGAAGACTTTATGGCTTTCAACTCGGGCCCGCCAGTAGGACTGCCAGGTTACAGGTGTCGTTAACCCTAAGGGTCCAACTACATAATAACCATATACTCATCTGAAAACTAACCAAAACTACTATCCGTAAACCAAGTACATGATTATTAGGTCCTTTGGACCCTTAGGGTACATGAAACAGCAGGACAAGGCACCATCATCCCAATCAAGTTGAAAGGCTTTGCTTGGCACGTGCCACCGTAATCGCTGGTTGACCCCGCGTTGCTCTTCTTCCCACTTTCCTCCGTCAGTGCATGTCCTTCTGGAATCCCCAACGCACACACTGTACGCCGATAAAATGGTCCTGACAAACCCTGAACCCCAAACACCAACAGAACCCGTCAGGGAATCAAATTAAAGAAACGCTCTGAGGAACTCGATGACGCTGAACCAAAACTCCTGCACACCTTAACCAACCAACCTATAAACCCCATAAGTTCTACCTTGAACTACCATAACCTACGTCTTTGTAGGTTCTTCTCCTCTATGGGGACCCTACAAAAGAAGGTGGGTTTTGGAAGGTTAAGATATGTAAACACTACCCAAAGGCTCCTTACTATTCTTTTTTTGGGGGGTTGGTATTTAGGATCCTGTAAGGTCATCCCA